GTAGTATCACACAGCTCACAACAACCTCAACCTCCAGAGCAACTGGGACTACAGGTGCCCACCACAACGCCCAGCTATTTTTTTGTTGCAGTTTTTTGTTGCAGAGGGTGCAGTTTGAACCCGCCACCCTCAGTATATGGGGCTGGCACCCTACCCACTGAGCCAGAGGTGCTGCCCATGTATACCATTTTTAATATTTTACTCCATATTTTTACTGTATCTTTTATATGTTTACATATATTTTAGGAAACAACTCCTTACCATCGTGTTGCAACTGCCTACAGTATTCAGTATGGTCATTTGCTATTCAGGTTTATAACCCACAAGGAATAGGCCATACCAGGTAGCCTACATATGTTAGTAGACTTATCATCTAGGTTTGAGTAAGGACACTCCATACTTAAAAAAATAGTGGCCACCCTAGAGTTTGCAATATGATTTGCTTTTAATCTAAGTCCACTTTCAAGTCATACTATTTGGCTGCACAGTTAGTAAGGCGCATTCCTTCTTCCTTCCTATCCCTTACAACGATGCTATCATTTCCCTTATCTATAAGCTAGAATCAGCCAATATACTGTTGTTGTTATTACTTTGAAGTAATTACTAGGATAATTAAGAATAAGAAAATGTTTTACCTCCATTTATTCCTTCTCTGATACTATTCCTTTCTTTTTGTAGACATGTGTTTTAGTTTCTGCTCTATATCATTTTCCTTCTCTCTACAAGATTTCTTTTAGCACTCCGTCACCGTGCATAGAGTGCTGTGGCATCATAGCTCACAGCAACCTCATACTTAAGTGATCCTTCTTGCCTCAACCTCCCAAGTAGCCATAACTACAGGTGCCTGACACCACACCAGGCTTTCTTTTTTCTATTTTTAGTAGATATGGCATCTTGCTCTCAGGCTTGTCTCTAACTCTTGAGCTCCAGCTATCCACCCTCCTTGGCCTCCCAGAGTACGGGGATTACAGGCCTGAGTTATCCCACTCGACCTCTTAACATTTCTTGAAAAATGGGTCTACTAGTAACAAATTTCTTCTGTTTTTGATTTAGAAAGTCCTGTTTCTCCTTCACTTTTGAAGGAAAATTTCAGTAGATAAGAGAATTCTAGGTTGGTGTGGGATTTTTTTTTTCTTTCAACACATTTAAATATTTTGCTTCATTCTGATTTTGCTTGCAGGGTTTCTGATGAGAAGTCTTAGGTAATTCTTATTATTCCTCTATAGGTAAGTTGTGTATGTGTGTGTTTCATTGTCTGGCTCTTTAAGATTTTGGGTTTTTTGTTTTCTTCAGTTCAAATATAAAATGCCTAGGTATAGAATTGGGGCATTTATCCTGCTTTCTGTTCTCTATGTTTGGCCTCTGTCAAACTTTTGGAATATTCTCAGCCATTATTACTTTGTATATTTCTTTTCTTCCTTTCCCTTCTGAAATCCCATTAAGCATATATTACACTTTTTGTAATTATCTCACAGTTCTTAGATGTGCTGTTCCTTTTTTTTAATTTTTTTTTTTTTTTTTTGAAACAGAGTCTAACTCTGTCATCCTGGGTAGAGTGCTATGGTGTCATAGCTCACAGCAACATAAAAATCTGGGGCTCAAGCAATCCTCTTGCTTCAGTCTTTCAAGTAACTTGGGCTATAGGCACCTGCCATAAAGCCAGGCGAGTTTTTCAAGATGGGGTTTTGCTCTTACCCAGGCTGGTCTCAAACTCCTGAGCTCAAGCAAACCACCCACCTCGGCCTTCCAGAGTGCTGGAATTACAGGTGTGAGCCACCACATCTGGCTCAATTTTTATTTTTCTTTGCATTTTAGTTTGCAAAGTTTCTATTGAAATATCTTCAATGATTACTGAATTTTCCCCCTAGGGTTCATATAGTCTACATTTGATAAGCCAAACAAAGGCATTCTTTATTTCTGTGACAGTGTTTTCAATTTCTAGATTTCTTTCGATTCCTTCTGAGAATTTCCATCTCTCTGTTTACATTACCTATCTGCTTTTGTCTGCTGTTTTTTCCACTAGAACTCCTAATATATTAATCTTAGCACTTCTATCTAAATTTTAAGTTTCTGACCTT